CTATCTTCCTTAAGTCCTTCATTCTCAACTCTGCCCACTCTTCCTTTCTTCTTCCACTGCCCTTCTGCCCTGGGCCGCTCCAGAACTCTCCAGGAGCTGCTTATTCAGTTGTCAAGAGGATGGCTGCCTTCCCACCTTTGCATTTCAGCTGCTTCTTTCCTGTTGTTCCTATTACCTGCTCAGTCTGCACTCCACAAAGAAAACAAAGACTGAGGGAGAGAACCCTCTTGCCAAGGACAAGTGTTGCAACCCTCAAGGAGAAAGCGGGAGAATCTCCTGCGAACCATCTGAGTGAAGCTAAGCATCTTGAACACGCAGCCAGAAAGAGGATGCCTGGCAAAATCACATCCTTGCCTGTTTGTTACCAACAGAAACCCTAGGCTAAATCACCAGGAAAAGTTCTTCTCTTTTCTGAACAAGGAAATGACTGAAGAGTCACTTAGAGTTCACTGGAAACCTTAAAAACTGTTTCAAACAACCTGCCTGAGGCTGTATAATGGCAGTCAACAGCCCTTATTGCGTAGTTTTCTCGAGGTACCCATGGGGATGCATAAGGCTGGTGGGTCAGCACATAAGGGATGTTTCACTGGCTATTTGTATGACAGTCCTTTCCCTGAAGGCAGCTGGGACAATAACGGAGAATCGAGTATCTGATAATTAGGGAGGCAAAATGTCCTGTCCTCCAACTCTTTGTTTACAAAAAAAAAAAAAAGGAAACCCCATAAGGAATGTTTACAATAAGGCCTTAAAGAACTTATTACCTCCAACAGTGATTTTAGCAGAATTAACCGTCCTTTCACTGGCTTTTCATCTGTATATTGCGCTAGAAGAGAATCTATCTGTCCCATCAAATGTTCTTCAGCCTCCAGGGCGTTTAAACAAGAATCACTTTTCATCAGTGTTGTGTGTGGATGCAGGGACTGCAGCTCTTGTTGACATTGGGGTTCTGGAAATGTATCCTGTCTCAAGTCCAGTTGTCTGGAGGCTGGGCCAAAGGACCTGAACTCAGCACATGGGATGCATTGACAGAGTGTCCCTAGGAAACACCTGTAGGGCAGCAAGAGCATCATGACGTAGCTGACAGAGAAGCTAAGCAGGCTCTGGTTTTAGTTGGGCTTAGTTCCAGTGAGAACACTAGCACATTCTGCAGCATGCAGAATTTTGTCTCGTTGGGCCTGGAAGTTCACGCTTTTGGAACTTCATGCTACTGAACTTATTGTTCTTTGCCAAAGAATAGAGGGTAGTATGTCAGGAAGCATTTGGTAGTTCAAATCCAGGTGCAGCAGCTAAATCACCCAGGGCAGGTTTTGTCAGCAAGAGCAATCTGTGAAATGAAGCACCTGAGCTTTGAGATGTCCACACTCACTGCAGCAGCTTCTCTGGAGCAGTCTGTGTGGAACTTTGCCACCTTTTGCTATAAACTTCAGCGCAATCTCTTTCAGGAATATAATATCTGAGGGGTGGAATGCTTTATTATTTGTTTTTGTTTTGTCCTATCTGATTGTTCTTAATTTGTTAAATTGCTAGTCCTAGACCTTGAACTACTTTTTTTTTTTAAATCAATAGATTTGTCTGCTCTCTATTATTTACTTGAACGACCTCACCAGCGACTTGAACACACTAGAGAGAGGATACACAGAAATGAGGCAGAGAGTTTGCCAAGGGATGTTTCTAAGCAGCTCACACACAAAAAAAAGTCCTGTGGAAACCTTCTTCAATGTTATTCTTATTCTTATGTTTGAGGGAAACCCCAAGTCCCCAGAATACACCAAGAATATTTCTTTAAGCTGCTTAGTCTTTTAAATATCCATAAATCTCTTTTGTTGTCATTTACAATGCCACATTCTCTCTGAGTTTCCGAGTCCATTCATGTCGTCCCATAATTGAAGCAGACAAATGATTATTTACCTAATGAGAAAAATGCCTGAAAATCTACATAGCGCTGTGAAGTCTATGGAATATTAAGTTTGTTATGGCTTTGTAATAATTCCTAGAAACTTGGAAACAAATGATACATCATCATTCAAGGCATTTATCTCATGAGAGGCATTTTCAAAACTTGCCTCTGAAGGCCACAGAAACATCATTTTGAATAGACCTCCATTAATATTTGTGCAACATTTAGACATGACTGCTCACCTACAATCACACAAACAAAACAAACAGAAATTATCTTTCAGCTATAGTTTCACATCCTGTCATAATAAGTGCGTGAGTGCAAACGTTTTCTAAAATTTCCCAACATTTTTTAAAACAAATAATACAAAGTATCAGAAAACACTGGGGATAAAACTAAGTCCCCAAAGCTAATCATGCTTCTAGATTACAAATAAACAGAGTCATTAAAAAAAAAAAAAAAAAAAAACAAGAGAGAAAGTATATGCAAATTTTAACCAACAGAAACACAAAGGCCCGGGCAGCACTGAGAAGCCACTGACCTTTTGGAATTTAATTTCGCTCATCTCTGTTTGTTGTGCTGGATTGTGACCACAGCTCCCTATGAAGATCACCACACATGAAATGAAAGAGAAATCTCCTTGCTGAAAGCTCATTCGAAGCAGTGTTTGTAAAAGTACAATGGCATCATGTGGCACATTAGTAATGGGTAGGGCAAGGTACACGAGAAATGTCAAGGCAGTCATGTGTAACAGAGAGCCGGGAAGAGAGCATATTAATTCTGGGAAATCTGGCCCCGCTCCAAGGCTTTTTACAATCCCCAGACTATTTTTAAGAAGTTCTCAAAATTGAATCACACATTGAAAATGGAAAGAAAAAAAAACAAGTAACTGCATCCAACTCAGGTATGAAACTGAAGATAAGAAAATGTAGGCAGCCTTTGGCTGCGTGCTTCGAGCAGATAAAAATGGAAAATGGCCAAAACCTTTGACTGTGGGAAAGTCTCCCCATTTGCATTTTGTTTCATTTGATTCTTCAGGCAGTATATTAACACACAGGGGATTACTATTATAATTTCCATTAGCATCGAAAGCTCTAGATTCCAGTTGAACGCATAATGTATTACTGAAAATTTGATTTCTAATTTTTAATGGTTGAAAAAGCAAGTGATTAGACCCTTCTTCGAAACATTTTCTAAATGACCTCCCATTAAATTAGTTATATAGAAAAGAAGTGAGGTAGTAATAAGAAGGAAACTTGGGCTGTTTTTATCTATGTTAAATGAGAAGATGGGTAAAATGAAACAATAAAATTAGCTCAGTTACTTAACGAACAGATTTTAACCTACCAATATTGAACTGAATGTAGTGCTGGCATGAGGAGACCTTAAAAGGATCTAATTTGGATAAATTAATAAGTTTTACCCAAATGAAGATTTGATTATTCAAGCTCTGAAACTTTCATTGCAACTGTCATCTAAAAAAAATTAAAACATATTGCATTCTTGAACTCTTCATTATTTTATCTGAAGAAATGGAGTAAAATGATGCATTCCTTAAGAGTGAAGTCTTTTGCCGACATTAGATGTTTCTACAGGGCAAGTGTATTTGTAACTACTTCCGTAGACCAACCAGGTACTTACCAGAACTTTCGAAAGTGACTAAGGTTTCATGCTGAGAACTGTGGGCATACATTCCATTTCTCTATCTTTCCGAACAACTCAGAACCCATTATTTTATAAGAGTTTTTATTCTTTTCATACATAATCACATTGCCCGCTATTCCATATCTTGAGTCATGGCTTTCATTGCTGCTAATTTCAGCTGCCAGTTCCTGGTTCTTGTTCACTTTCTTCCGTTCTTATGTTCCTCTCTATTTTTTTTTTTTATTTTCTCTGGTTGTTGTTGTTGCTGCTGCAGCTTCTATTGTTGTTTGTATCCCAGAATGACCAGAACTTACTATACAACTGAGAATGTCTCGGCCTCCACCTCCAGCACATGATACCATGTCTGGCTTTCTCTGCCTTTCTCTATTTTATATTTGTTTTTCATATTTTTATTGATGTATGTGCACGTGTGTATGTGTGTGTTTATGCCACATGTGCATGTTTGTGGGTGTGTGTGTGAGTATATGTGTGCCTTCAGAGGCAGGAAGCAGATATTAGAGCCTCTAGAACAGGATTTGTAGATAATTATGATCCACACAACCTGGGCGTAGGGACTCAAACTCATGTCTTCTGGGAGAGCAGCAGAGTTCTTTACCATGGAATCATCCCTCCAGTTTGGCTCTGTATGTCTCGTAAGTTCTCCTGTGTCTTTACTTTCATGAAACAAAACACTGGTCTTGAAGGCAAGCACCATCCATATATTTGACTACTTGGGTATTCATCCTCAGTTTTTGTGTTGGTGTTTTTAAAGACATTTTTGTGGATGCTCCTGTTCAACACCCTTATTTTCTAATTATATCTGGTTTTTAATTGATTTCAGGCAGTTGAGAATGCCAAACACCTGAGGGGCTCTGTGCACAGCTACTCATTTCTTCCTCTTTATAATAATGTCAGTGTGTACTTTCCTCCAAGGCTTCCAAGGTATTTCCCAACTCTTTCCTAAATAATTAACTTTCCTCTCCTTTTTAAAAATATTTCCATGACAATATCCTGAATACCAATATTTTAAATAAAAATACTTAAAAGAAAATTCATTTTTCTTAATTATATTGCTTGTGGCAAAAGAAAGTATTCCTAAAAGACATTTTTGAGGAACGTGAATAATCGGAAGCATCATTTCAGTTAACAAGAATTCATGACAGGGCTGTCATGGAACTAAACTAGTTGGCTTAAAGCAGGAAAAGGATCCAGAACTGTATTCAAGATTTTTTTTTTAACTTTCAAGTCATTCTATCTTTAATAACCTGGCATTAATTCAAAGCATGAAAAACAAAAGTTAAGATTGTTCCTTTTACGGGAGATGCCCATTACGATAGACTCAGTCACGTGGTGAGATTGGATTCCAAACAGTGCGGGAAGGCGTCCCTGCTCACGGATTGATGCGTTTAGTTACTGATAATCAGCCTGCGGGCGGGAAGCACAGGAAATTAACGAACTCTCAGAGAACAGGACGCGGTTGCTGGGTCATGAGCACCTTGAAGCGTTTCTTGATGGTGATTCGGTGTCTTGAGTATTTGTCGTCAGGGGAAAAGCGAGCAAGATGGACAGAGCAAGTCTGTTGTCCCTTCGGGTCAAATTTCTTTAACGTATAGACGCAATCTCCCTGTTCGTTGAGGTAATACTGGAGAAACATGACTGCACTTCAGCAGGAAGACGCCAACCTGTCTGCAGTCAGTCGCCTTTGCCAGGAGTGCGGCCTATATTCAAGATTTTATGAATTGTCCAATGTAGTCATTTTCATAGAGATTGTATCTGCTTAGAAGGTTCCATTTCCTTAATGGGCTTCATTTGTCTCTAAGTTGAGCTTTCTCTAGCAACTTCAACTGTTAGAAAGAGATTTTTTTGCCATAAAAAGAAAACAACAAATCACATTATTACTGGGGTTAACATAACTTTATTTAGACACATGGTATTGTGATGGTTAGCTTCACCTCAGTGACTTTTGTCATGAAATTTGATCATATTATTTAACAGGCCCTTCAAAGCTCATCTCTGCATTCTGAACTCCAACTCTGATTCTGTGTATGTGCTGAGTCACCTTCTAGCTACTCTGCCTGTCATTTGTATTGTCACAAGCTTTCTTTCTACAAGTTCTTCCTTTTCTCTATTCCCTTCAGCCTATCTCTCTCTTTCTTTGTTGACTAGCCCTTAAGATACAGAAGCCACTTCCTATGGTATAGCTCCCAAGAGTAGCCCACCCCTCCCTCTGCAATTGAGGACAGAGAACCCACAGCAAAAGCAACAGGGACCAAGTCACTATATTGACTGTGCACACAGACTCTTCTTTTCAGTTGGTATAGTATGTTTTTGTGAAAAACTATGAAAAAGTGGATATATAGCTTTGAGTCTAAGACAGAAGTAACATTTATTAGTAAGGTTCTCACAAGAACAGGTAGTGTGCACACGGGCACACACACACACACACACACAATGGCACATCACTGTTAGAGACAGAAATGCACAGAAAATGTTACTAAGAGCTGGCTTCTACCATATTCTGACTAAATGTAATGGGAATACATTTCATTTTCAACTGAATCATTTATATGTTAATAAGGTATCAGGAATAGTGATGTGGCTACCAATGGAATTAATCACATGTTTTCTATTTAATTCAAAGATATGCAAATGTTCAAATGTAATATTAATTGAACCAATAATAATATGACCTTGGAAGGTGGTCAACCAGAAATTAATGTTTATATAGCCCCAAACTCCTCAATTTGAAAATAATATAGCAACAAGGGAAGATGATACTTAATTCTACCATTTATTTATAGATTAAAATATGAATTTCTTCAAAGAAATATACCAAAAAATTTCCATATTCCAAATTCAAACTTATAACAAGAAAGATAGGCTATCTTCCCTCTAATGAGACATTCATATGTAAAAAAATTAGGCTAATTTTAATAGTATATACAATGCAAGCAATATGGATAAAGTATGGCTCATTAGGTAGACCAATCCCCATCCATCCATTAGACTAATGACATGAAAAATATAAAGAAGTTTTACAGATGTACTTTTTTAGCAATACAGTCAAGTATTTTTAGACTTCGGATAGCTGTGGAAGGGGTGCCTATATAATAATTCTTTTTTAATATATGTGGCTAGATCAGTAGACTTGGTGATGATAGCTAGATAGGTAGATAATAAATATGTAAATAAAAAAATCAATAATATGGATGTGTTGGTATGTAATAGAAGCATAGATGATAGATGGATAAGTAACAAAGTGGTAAACCAAAGGAGCAAATATAGATAGATTCATAGATAGATGGTAAATGTATGGTATTTTACTTAGGATTTATATTGCTATGATGAAGTATCAAGACCAAAAGGAACTTGGGGTGGAAGGTACTTATTGTATTTATACTTTCACTTCACTATCACTGGAGGAAGTCAGGACAGAAACTAATGTAGAGAAAGAACCTAGAGGCAGGAGCTGATGCAGAGGCCATGGAGGAGTACTGCTTACTTGCTTGCTCCACATGGCTTGATCAGACTGCTTTCCTACATCCACAGTGAGGTAGAGCCTCTTCTACAAATGATTTGATAGATGTGATAGATGACAAAATGAACATGTATTACATATGCATGCATACACATATATTTTACACTTTCACAGACAATTTCTATTACATAAATATGAACCTCTGAAGGATCAGTAAGGATAATGAAAGTTATGTCACTTTTCAAATGATTCTGTGTTGTGCCACAGTTCTTAACTTTAGAGTGTTTTCTTTATTTTTACAAGTTCACAAACAGCCATGAACTCTGATTTCTGCATCTATAATCCTCCTGTAAATATGCTAAACTAATAAGAAATGCTGATGAAAGCTCATGGCCACAGTAATCTGACTTATGTTCATTTGTTTGTGGATTTTGTCATTTTTGTTTGGTTTGTTTTTTTTTTTTTTTTCCTGAGACAAGATTTCAATATGTAGTCTTGAATGGCCTGGAACTTGTTCTATAGTTCAGGTTGGCCTCAATCTGAGACGCATCTGCCTCTGTTTTCTGAAGACTAGAATAAAAGGTATGAGCCACCCAGTCTGGCTCAAAGATGTCTTTTACAGCCACGGTTTTCTAAATAGTTCATTATATCTGCCACAAAGAGCCCTTGAAATAAGGACTAAGTCTCAGAATTTTGCTATATACCCACCTAAGCAAGATAGTTTTGAACTTGTAACAGATGATTTACAAACACTTATTCATAAATGTAAATTGAAATTCTTCAAGGATTCAGTCCAGACAAAAAAGACTGTTAAGATGACAAAATTTAACCATGACTTATTTAATATGAAGTCTAGATAGCCATAGTCACAAATTTTAAATTTCGTATCCAAAATGCAGCAAATAAAATGCAAATCAGAAGTTCTAGAGGCTTGAAGAAAAGGAAGGCACACAGTGTTCAGGGAAGAGGAGGGAACTGCATAATAACGCATTTTTAGAATCTAAATTGAACTATATCTTTGTGACAGTTATTTAGGAAATTCCAAGTTTTTCATGGTCTCTTTAAGTATGGGGTCTGGCATTAAAAAAATAATCTGGCATTCATCTTGTGGAATTCAAGCAACCACAGAAGCCTAAATAAATCTAATTTCCATAGTTCCCGTGACTTTAATACCCATTTGCTGCATGGAAACTCTGTGTTTGCTATTAAATTAAGACTATGAAGATCATGTAATGTGTAAACGACAAATATGTAATAACTCTGGAATGATGATATAAACTTCAGTAGCTACAAATATTACCAAGGCTATGAATTCCCACTGTATTGAGAAACCCATAATTTCAGAAACTAGGAGTCAGATTGAGCAAAGGTAGGAATTTACACACAGCCTCAGAGCTAGCATGCATACACTTTAAAGCAGATAAAAAGAATATAATAAATTTACTTTTGATTGTATTTTGTAAAAGTAACTCTCACAGGCGCATGGTGGCACGTGCTTTTAATCCTAGCCCTCAGGAGGCAAAAGTACGTGCATCTCTATGAGTTCAAGGAGAGCCTGTGCATGAAAGCTCAGGCCCACCAAGGCTATATATAGTAAGACCCTGTCTCAGAAAACTAAACAAAAATAAAAATTAATTCTCTTTAAAAACATTATATCTACAATAACATCAAATACTTACAGTAGTGGACATTTGATAGAGATTCGTTTCTCAAAACAGATCTGAGGGCAAACACTGAGCTGCTATGCTAGCAAGTAACAAGCCCCAAAAAGACCCAGATATATGTACGTGGACACTTGCAGCATTCCTGAAGGAGACAGACAACGACAACACAGAGCGGATAAGCGGCTTCACTCCTAGTCGCAAATGTTGGAACTCATAAAATTCCATGCAGGTGGGAAAGTTCATGTGTAACAAGATTGCATGTAGAAACAAATTCGCTTGTTTAACTGTTTGTTCTTTTATTCGGAGATGAGATCTCACTGTGTAGCCCAGGAAGGCCAGGATTTGTAATATAATTTATTAGTTTCTGTGGTGGTTTGAAGAAGAATGGTCCCAATTAGGCCTAAATCTTTGAGTGCTTATTCATCAAGGAGTCAAATTGCTTTAGAAATATTTGTAGGTGTGGCCTTGTTGGAGGAAATATGTCACTGGGGGTGGCCTTTAAGGTTCCAAAAACCGACACCAAGCCCAGTGCCTCTCTTTCTGTCTACTGCCTACAGATCAGGATGTAAAGCCCTCAAATATTGCCTGTTTGCTTTCGGTCATAATGATCAAGGACTAATCCTCTAAAACTGTGAGCTCTCAATTAAACACTGTTTTTTATAAGAGTTGCCTTGTTTTGGTCATGATGCCTTTTCATAGAAAAACCAACAACTAAGACAATTTCAACCCACGTTTTTTCCTTTCTTGCTTCCTTGGCATCCCAGATGCTGAAATTAAAGGCATGGGCCACCAAACCAAGTTTTAATTAAAAAAAAAAAAGTAGCTGTAGTCCTGAGGATTGACAGTGGGGTAGGTGTTAAGTTTTTTGGCCCAGTAAGCCTCTAGACTGATGCAATAATCCAAATAATACCAAATTAAAATAAATTAGAAGAGGCTCAGGTCTAATGGATGCCAGCACTCCTGGGTGGGCCTCTGGGAAAACACAGGTAGGGGAACAAAGAACTGGGGAGACCACAGAGAACCGGAAAGACCATGTGTTCATTCTCTGGGGGTCAGTTTAAATAAATTTCTGGTCATTAACTGCCAGAAAGAATGGGACAGAGAAGTGCCCTGGTTGTACAAAAGAGGTACAGGTAAGTAAGTGAGACACAAGCATAGATATGCCCTTCTAAAACCAGATTTTAGTTGGTAGGTGTCCTTTTGAGCCAGGAGAGTTGGTACCAATGATGAAGTTCAGCTGATTCAGGTGTTGGTTTTGTCTGGAAGGCCTTTTGTAAGTTGGTCTTGGCCCAGGCAGCAGGAGTGACCTGTACAATATGCTTGAAAGTAGGTGGGGTTGAAATAGGCTCTGGAGACTGTTAGTTTTTACCAGACTACATTTTTGATATAGCAGCAGAACTTTTCTTTTAGGAACCTGCATATTTTTACTCACTTTTGAAGCTATAGTTCAAGTCAAAACTAATCTATGAAATCTCTTCCAGCTAACCAAACCACAACTATTTCTCCCTACAC